ATCTTTACCTGAATGTGGTTCCCAGTAATAATATTTGCTCTCTTTGTATATCGTTCCAGCGTTGGTAATTTTCTCCATAACATTACCCAAAGGATCTTATCAAAGTTGAATATATTGTAAATTAGACTTTCGTTCAGCATTGCCCCCTTCAGAATGCCATAAGTTTCTTTTTAAATTAGACAAAATGATTTGATGCTTTGCCAGAATGACGTACGGCCTCTGCCTGATACACTCGGCTGTTCTAGTGGTCAGCTCGCAAGATAATGTATTAGAGCGTACTTCGATAGGATGTTGTCAAACCGAACTAAAGTAAACAAAATATTATACGGATTTCATACGAAATCAAAGTAAAACAGGTAAAATGCTGTATAATTTTGCATTTGATTGGCTGAGAGTGGCGCAAATTTTCTGTACCAATCATAAACCGTAGTGAAGCAAATTAATGAGATCAGGGAAAATTATCAACAACCAATTGAAAACTGTTCTAAAATTGTGAGGAAAGTTATATGTCAATAACTTCTAAGAGTCAAAGTGATTCAACGTATTTTTTGAAAAATACTTTCCTTGCAATGAAAAATCTTCAAATGAAAATTGAAGATCAATTAAAATACGATTCAGAAGTTTCAGAATGTCTTTGAGGAAAAATTGTCTTTAAATGTTGTATTCATGTAGGTTCTCTGCGAGAAAAATCTCATTGATAATCAGCTAGTGGAAGAAAGAAAGAGAGGCTACGAGAACCAAAAATAAATTTGAAAAGAAAAGGTTAAACTCTGTGAAGGGGGCAGAAGCCACTGTATCTTGTATTCTCTAGAGCGAGATAAAACTAGCACAAACCCATGAATAAGATCCTTGGAAAGTATGCTCCGTCAATATCAAACTTCTTTTGGTTGTTATCAAATTCGTCCTGAAAAAAAAATTGAAAATATAACATTGGATTCCTCAATGCGGATATTCGTCTTCAGAGCGCTTTTCGTTGAGTGTCGTAAAACCGAAACCAGAGTAAACACAACTGCCATCCCGAAGTTAGAAAATAACTTTAAGAGCCAATTCAGGGACTCAAAGTAATAACAAGTAAACTGTTAGCTTGCAGTGCAGGCGTCTTATTACGGCGTATTCACGTTAAGAACTGCGCGATCGTTTATTCAACTGGCCATGGTTAATTTGGAGTTAGAGTCGATGGTAAGGGAGGGGAACGGGAAGGGGTGATTTCACTTCCCCACCCTCACCCCCTCCTTATTTTTTCACTGTCGCTCGAAACCTCGGTATAAATTCCTTTCTCTCCCCAACCTTCCGCTTCCATTCAAAATAAAAGATGACGGCCATAATTTTAGCTTAGAAAATAGTGAGCACTCGCTCACCAAAACCTGCTCTGCGGGCTAACGAACTGCCTAAAACGTGGGAACATGAATGCAATCTCGTCTACTTCGATACTTAAANCACCACGACTTGTGTATGATTAACATCACAGGTTTCTCACTGGTAAAAAAATCACATTGTGAATTAAAAGGTCTATCCGCGATGTATGTACAAAAGACTCAAAAAATTTTCAGATGTTTTCGAGAAAATTGGCAGTAAATAAGCATTGAGCTTAGCGAAATTTAATGAAGATGTAAATCCATCAAAACCAAAGCTACAACCCATCTTTGTTGTTTGCAAATTACCTTTTCTTTGCTTCTTCAAGACCCTTCTCCATTGTCATCCAGTTAATCTGTTTACCAAACCCTGTGAATAAACAAAAATTAAACATGTTACAAGGTGAGACATGAAAAAAGCAGAAATGTGCTGTTAAGTTCATCCATAGATAAAGAAAATGGACTTCGATTTCATATTTGCATCGATACCTCTGTCCAAACCTTCGGTTTCTGGTAGCAGCTTCTTCATGGATTTGATGACTGCCGGAAAATTAAAAGGAAAAAATGCGGGTAACAGTTAATAAAAATGAAAAATGGGCAAATTGTGATCAAATTTCACAACAAATCTTACTTGCTACCAACCGTGTGAACTGCAACAACAGTTTATGTTTCATTCAAAATAGAATGTGTTCACGGAACAAGTTTTAAAAAGAATGCCTCAAGCCTGACGCCAATTGAAGGGGCATTTATGTACTTACTTTCCTCAGCTGTCTTGTAGAAGTATTTTGTTTTGTCAAGAGAAGTGTCTTCGTTATCAATTTCTTTCTTTAATTTTCCATCGGAATCTGTAAAAACGTTAGATCGACCGTATAATTAATGGTTTGAATTATATATGTATTAACACCATCATAAGGTACATCACTCAAGTTTTTAACCTTTTGTTGCATCACTAGAGAGTTTAAGAAACGACGACGGCGACGCTGTGGACAACATCAGTTAAGAGATGAACTCATACTTTAACCACGAATCTAGCGATTCTTTTAAGTCTTACTTTCAAATCTCGAAACTGAATAGGGAACGCAGCGTTAAATTAGAAATAAAAATCTAAAAAATAGCCTTCGTTGTTCACGTTCTCCAGACAACGTAAAGTTTGGTCATTTCACGTTGTTGTTCTGCAGAGGTAAGATACGTAGTGCACAGCCATTGTTCTGCTCATTAAACTTTTTGTCTGGCGACGTTCCCGAGGCCGTTGCCGTCATAGTTTTCGTAAACTCCCTTCTGTTATTGAGTCAACGGACAACATCAACAACAACAGCATCAACAAGCACTTTGTATCTCAAGGGTGCTTATCTAAAGTCAAAAACTGTTTTATCCCAATAGCCATAAGTCTCAACGAAAAATATCAGCAACAACAAAAGTACTGAACAACACCACTGCAATATGGATCTAGCAGAAATACATGTGAGGAAACAACAATGAAAGTCAATTTTTAAAGGACAACTTCTATGTTATTGAAGAGTATCTTTACAACCCTTGTCAGTACAGCGTCTTATATTTTTCTACCAACCATTCCATCTCTTTAGACTACGAAATCACAGATAATTGACCTATTGTTAACCTTCCAAAGATATTTTAGCTTTTATAAGCCTAATCACAAAAAATTTAGTGGATGGATTCAAAAAAACTTGAAACTTTTCTCACCCAAAAAAACAATTCTCGGAACGTAAGATCCGTCAGCGTCGTATTTTCCATCCTTGGGGATTTCATCGTCCTGAAAATATTTTTTTGTTTTTTCAGTACTATGACTTACTGTTTCAACTTAATATTTTGACAATAAGGGAACAGTCATTATCTATCATTGGGGGGTGGGGGTAGTGGAGGATTTTTGGGATCACATGGTCTTCGGAGACGAGCGGAGAGAGGATATCAGTCGTTGCAAACAGAGTGTAAAAGTGAAAATCTACTTGACAATAAGGGGGGGTTATAGGAAGAATTCAAAGCCATCTGGGGGGGATCAGGTGAATTATATCGTGACACAACCAAAATCCTTCTATCCTCCTCCCTCAGGTAATAATTGTATCGCTGTTCCCACGCCTTGTCTTTTTTTCTGTGTAAACAGTGTTTCTATGTTGTGCATCACGTACGCTCCCAAAGCAATACTGGATGCCTATATTCCTATCTTTAAAAAAAGAACAATGTTTTTGCTTCCATGATAATAAATCATAACTTTTACCTCAAGATTGACCAACAAAAAGTATTTGCTAAGCCCAGCGATTTCCTTAGATTCGGCAATTTTTGGTTTGAGATCTGAAAATGTAAGAATGCGAGAGGAGAGCGAGGCCAATCAAATATGATTCGAATGACATCGCGCAATTTTTATATAAAGATTCCACAAAATTTTACTGACAGATATTTCTCTCGCAAAATGAACTGACCTTGACTGATCTGGCACCAGCTTTTATGTAAGACTATCATGATGGGCTTGTTGCTGAAAATGGAAGAAGGGCAGAAGAAAGGAGAAGGCAAAGAAATTAAGACGCACTTATTTATGACGTTCGAGTAGCCTGCTATAAGTTACGTAACTATTCAAAATGAGATGTTTTTCATAAGATACAAATCTGTAAAACTTTCCATATACGATNTGCTAATGTAATCTATTGCATAACTTGCACTTATTGCAAAAAGATATACATCGGCGAAACAGGCAGAAGACTAGGTGACCGATTCCGAGAACACCTTCGAGACGTGGAAAGGAATGACAAGGACACATCTAAACCAGTCGCTAGACATTTTAATTTACCTAATCATTCTAAGCAACATATGGCAATCTGCGGTCTTTCCTTGCACTTAGGTGGCACGGAAAGCCGTAAAAATCTTGAACAAAAGCTCATCTTTCAAACCGGCAGTCTCAATCCCACAGGGATCAATGAACGCTTTTCATTCCACTAATTTATTCATGTTTTTCTCGTTGCCATGCACCCACCAATAACGTAGCTCCATTTTCTGCCTTTAAAAGCACACACAACCCACAATTCCTCTATTCGCTCCGACGAAGGGCTAACGCTCGAAACGTCAGCTTTTGTAATCGTTACGGAGGCCAATTTACCATTTCAACTTTTGTTGATATATCCAAATTATTTCGTTACCCCCACCGACGCAGCCTCAAACAGTTTCTTTAGAAACTATCAGCCTTTATAAGTTATAAACATTTGGGTTTCAGATCAAAATCTTAGTCTGTAAGACTACCGAACTTACGATATTTTGGCTTCTTTGAGAGCGTGATCGAGCTTCATCCACTTTAGATGAGCACCAAAACCTGGTAAAAAGCAATACATGATAGAATACTGGTAGCGGGACATAAATTTCATGACCCATGACATAATTACAGAAAATTTCTAACTCCAAAGGCGTTTCGCATAGGCGTGGAAATCCCGGAGGCCATGCTGTATAATGATGGCCTGGTAATTCTTCGCAAGGGTATAGCTGCTCTCGTAGATGTGTTGACTGTGTTGACGCGTACTTATTTTCTCCAAATTACACGAGAAATCATGTTGTTACCTGTTAATAACTTATATGAAAAAAAACAGTGCATAAAGTCAAGACAGACGAAATTTTGACAGCACGCGCCATTTGTAATTTGAACTCATGTTACAACTTTGCACTAGTGTCACATAAAAAAAAATGGATTTGTTTTCAGCCAATCAGACGGGCGTAATTTTTTTATGTATATTATTAATCATATTACTGTATAAGATCCTGAACAAAATTTCTGTTGTAAAGCGGAAAATGTTTGGGGCACAAAAACTCGGTCGCAGGGAAAGTTGATTATCCTATCCAGCTGCAAAATATAAATAGCAAAGCACTGATTTGTGTCATTGCCAACAAAACTGAATCTCGCATTAATTTATATTTGTCTTACCTCTGTCTTGGCCAACTCCAGCACTCATCTCTCTCCCGAGAACTTTCTTCATCATGTCAGCGACTAAAGATCAAGAATGATAGAACAAAAATTTGGATACTAATTTGAAAATGTTTGTGTCCCAAATAATTTGAAACAAGAACCCCTCAACAAGGATCACAAGATGAGAGATTTCCCAGTGTTCTCCATACACATCAAAAATAAAAAGAGCAAGGAGATGGAAAACGTACTTTAGCAATATTTTATAATATCTTGACTCTCTGGGCTCTTGACATCGCTCCTGAAACATGCATGTTGCCCAACACACTCGGTAATGTCCGAGTTAGAGCTTATCAGCGGTTACGGCTTGACTTACTTGTTTTGGCTGGCAAAGAACTGGTTAGTGTTTTAAGTTAAGAATTATTAAATTTCAGCCGTGTGTAGCTTAAAAATTTATCATTTGTGCCAGGTATAAGAAGTTGTTTCAGGAAATGAGGGTTCCAAAATAAATCAGATTTGGAAGAGGGCGAAGCCAGTGAAAATATTGTTTAAAAGGATTTTATCTAGTAAGATAAATAAAGTACATCTTACTTTCTTTGGGCTCTGCATAAGCATATTTGTAATCCTTGAAAGATTTGTCAGTGTTGTGGAATTCCTTCATAATCTCACGCGTGAAAGGATCTGAATAATGTCAAAAGAAAAACATCAGAGCGTGAATCAGTAACCGAGGTTTACAGCAATTTCCACAGCCATCAAGAGTCTTCTTGCAGGCCCAAACATCAGAAAAAACTTTTTCACCTACCCAGGAAGTACATTCTTGGGGCATAAGCGCCATCCACGTCAAAGGTGTCGGCGGTTTTTCCGCTGTCATCCTAATCACAAATAAACGAATTAAGTGAGTAATTTTGTCAAAGAAAATGAACGTATGTGAGCGTGGGAGACAGGTTTTTGTAACCATTCTTGTCTGTACAATGTTTGTTGTTGTTGTTGATGTTTTCTTTAGAAAGTATTACCCAAACTAAGCAAAGCAGGTTTAACTCAAATCACTTACTTCAATGTTAACCATAACAAACTGTTTGCTCAACTCCGCAACCTCATTGGACTTAGCAAACTTCTTCTTCAAAACTTTGAAAAGAAATTCAAAATCGTTTATAAGACGGAATGCGAGGGCAACTAGTACTCAATATGTAGTTTAATATCCCGTAAAATAAAAAAATAACAGTACATGGATTAAATGATAATTACAAGACTTTCTGCTATTTTGTACCAAACGCTTTTTACCTTTGCAAGCTCCACACCATGATTTGTGAATTATCAACATCAGTGGCTTCTTTCTGCAGATATCACGAAATAATTCGGGGTTAGGGACCCGTCGTCATTTATTGGGGTGTTAGTTAGAGGATTTTAGGAAGATTAAATATTTTTTAGGGGCAAATAGAGGGGTATAAGATATAAATAATTTTTCACTTACTCTTCTTTTGCTTTCTTGAAACCCTCTTCAATCGACGTCCACGCAATTTCTTCGCCCCATCCTGCGAAAGATCAAAAAACGAGGCAGCACTGAGTGGAAGTAACTGATATCATGGTCGCATATGTGTCTCGGTTGCGCTGGGCACTGCACTTAGCTATTTGCATCAACAGGACTTGTTGAACTGTGAATGCTGTCGCATTTGTTTTCTCCTAACGTCCTCACGCACTAACCATCAGTTTCTCTCAGAACAGTAGTCAAGTGTCACATGTGTTCATTCTTCTGTTCTGAGCAAGGTCGAATTTCGGCATTAAGATGAGCTAACTTGTTTCCGCTTTTTGAGAGTTGTTGTATTACTTTTGTCTTATCACGCTATTTTCGCATGTTCTTCGTTTACGGGAGATTCAACAGAGTTGTGATACAGAGTCGTGGCGAAGTTAAAGCTACAACAGTTCAATTTAGCTGAGTGTCAATATGTTGAGGAACACAGCCACCGTGACGCCGGGTAACCAGTTCTGTCATTCAGCAAAGAAATGAAGGTCATTATCAGAGCATGGATATCAAAATGCACTTTGTTTTGATTTTTTTTCATCAATAGCGAAAGTTTTTAAAGGTTAAACTCTTCCATTATCTGAGTAGAAATATGCTTCTCGTTTATAAAAAAAGTGATGGTGGAAATTTTTCAGCCTTACCATGATCAGATACTTCCTTTGATTGATCCTCAATTTTCAATGCTTTCTTCATAGCTGTCAATACTGAAAGACGACACGAACGAAAATGGTCATGCCATACATATCATTAGGAATGTAGAGAAAAATTGTGACTCAGATAGATCTTCTTGCACGGAATCTCGCCTTATTCTCATACTTACATTCCTCTCCGTCCTGATAGTAGTATTTTACGTGTTTATGTTTGGTTCCTTCGTTCCATAGGTCCTTTTGCACTTTACCATTGGGATCTGATGAAAAGCAAGTTTCAAAGGCCAAAATTTCAGGGATTTATGTGTTAGACATGTAAGAAATTTTCTTTTGCTAAGTTTACTGTCCTCAGATCCCCGCTTCTACGAGCACTTTAAAGACTGGTCATCATTTATTGCCTGAGGGGATAGGGGTCGGTGGATTTTTGTCGTGCGTTGTGTCATGATCGTTACAGTTAATAGTTAGCAGTTAATTGGCATTCAGTTTTTTTAAAGTCCCCCCCTTTTTTATATTCTGTTTACGACGACTGTCCCCCCCCCCCATTTCCCCCATTCCCCCGTAAAATAATGACTGGTTCCCGATAGGCTTTTTCATAGAAATAATCGGCAAAACTACAATACTTGTCCTCAATGCAATCATAAATAAATAGCCTTCTCTATCACTGCTGCTGTCGATTGCACGTCGGTAACATCGACAATGTTTCAATGTCTTCCACCGACGATTACAACCCGATCCGTTTTAAGAATAATTTAAGTTTAATTGGGCGAGGTTTCTACTCAAGCCAGGTAGTCCATCCAGCATAAGCTTATCCTGGTTTCCATAGCGTGAGGCGACTAGGAATTTACTTCCCCTTGACACATTGATATTAATATTACCTAAGAAGAAAATCCTCGGCACATATTTCCCATCAACATCAAACTGCTCTCCTTGTGGTTCATCGTTATCGTCCGTGTTGACCATCACGAATTTTTTGCTGAGCTCACCAAACTCTCTGTGCTTTGCCAACTTGGGTTTCAAAGCTGCATGAAGAATATTTTCAAATTATTTTATAAACGCGTTTGATTTGAGATGGCTGTGACTATTTCATATCCAACTACTGAGAGTGCAATGGTAATATTTTTCAAAAAGAAAGCCTAAAGCAAGACCTAACATTCTACTTTTATATTGCAAGAAAAATATTTCAAATATTTTTCACTTGTGATCTATGGTTTATGGGCTGAGATGTTACAACCTGTAAACTAATGACGGTCAAACGAAACCCAGGAATTACGAGACGAAAAACAAACCATCTAAAAAGAAAAAGTCCCTTTTACTGGGTAGCAGTACGCGTGATCTTGAGGTGATGAAAACAGAATAGACTTACCTTTGCATGAGCTGCACCATGACTTGTGAATAATTAAAAATTTAATTATTAAATAATTAAAATGATACAGCTTCTTCCGACGATCGATTTACACATTATTATTAATTATTATTAATTATTAATTATTATTAATTATTATTAATAACTAAAACAGAATCGAATTACCTTTGCATGAGCTGCACCATGACTTGTGAATAATCAGAAGCATATACTTGTTACTGCGGAGAAAGGGTCGAAATAAGTTAACCGCTACACAAACACAAGAATATCACTGAGAAGCGTAATCGTGGAATTGATAAAACAAAGCTGGCACACACCTTTCCTTGGCTTCCTTTAGACCTTTCTCGTACGACATCCAATTAATATGATCACCAAAGCCTGTTGACATGAGAAAAGAATTGGGCCATAACCTCAATCAAAGAATAATTTAAAGTCATACCAGAAATAAGAAGCGAAACCGTTTCGGAACAAAAACAGTGGGAAAAATGTGAATTGAGTACCTCTGGACAACTTTTCTTCAGAATCTTTTGGTTTCCACCATGGGTCTCTCTCTTCTTTGTCTTTGTCTTTATCCTCTTTTGTGTCTCCTGTTTTGCCTAGAGTATACAAGAAGAAAAGACTTTGTCAAAGTTGGCATTGATGGTTTCAGTGAACACTTTTATCTAAGCTTACTTTGAGCATAAAAATAATGTCGTACTAAATTTCTGGGATAAGATGGTAGGAAATGGCAGTTTCCATTAATAAAAGGATTTTAATTTTTCGTGAAAAAGCCAGAGGAGCCTGTTTATGTTCCCTTTTTTTACTTGAACTTTAAATGCCATGAAATGGTCATTATCAGTGTAACACATCTGGTCACATCTATGAACTTCGTGCATTTGATATAATCATGTATACAGACCTTTTTCATGATAAGAACTTATTTCTTTCTCACCTAAAACTCCAGTTTCCTTCATTTTAAGAGCCCTTTTCATTCCAGATATTACTGCGACGAAGAGAAAAAAAAATTCGTAGCTTGAGTCTCCTTGTTACTAATTATGATTTGCCAATTAGGCGTGTTAGCCTGTGTTAAATTGGGATTCACGAATCTAAAACATTCCTGCTCTTAAATACTAATGTTTTGCGTAATACGCATCCTAGAGGCGAAAAATTTTGTTTAAGCAGCTCTTTGTTAAGAATATAAACAACAGCAAAGATACTGAATAACAACAACAACAATAACGAGGAAGAGATTCGGGCTAAAAGAATAAACATACATTCCTGAGGGCCACTGTATTAATATTTGACATGTGGATGTTTAGTGCCTTCATTCCAAATATCCTCCACTACTTTTCCTTCAGGATCTACGAGGTAAACGTAAAGAAAAGAAAAAAAACTATGAAATGAAATGATCTAAGCTTTCAAGAATCCTAAACTAATAGTTGTGGAATGGATTGTTGGCTCAGAATCCGCTTTTACTCGCTAGCTTTTGCGACTTTCGTTTTCGAAGGACGAAGGGCTGAATCGGTTTTCCATTTTATCTTTTTTCTTTTTTGGAGATGTCGCATGATTTATTTAAACTAGCTAAAGCGTTTTACGAGAGTGGAAGTGCGATAAACTTCACTTTGATTAAAAATTAGAATACATTCTGAGGACAGGCATAAAATGTAAATAGAAACGATTGGGTTGTTATGGCGTTAACTTAGAACTACAGCCAAGTCAGTGTTAAGCCATTCCAGCGCGTCAAAGGCGTGGTTGACTAATTACATGTATGTCAAATGGTAACTTCCTTTCCCTTTTACGAATAGCTGAAAACTGCTGAAAAAAAGTGGACATTTCGACACCAAACGAATGAAGTCACTTACTCAAGAAAAGAACTCTAGGGATGTACTCGCCATCGACTACAAACTGGCTTCCCTTTGGCTCTTCTTCATCTTCTGTATTAACCATCACAAAATGTCTGCTCATTTCTGCAAACTCCTTTGAGTCAGCAAGTTTTGGTTTCAGGGCTGCGGAGATTAAAACAATCGGTTTAAGTAATAACGCTTCTCTCTCCACTGAAATATATGATAAAATGAGATCAGATTGTGGATGTGCATGTTTTGTTTGATATGAAGTACCTTTGCACGAACCACACCACGTTTTGTGAATGAGAAGCAACATCCACTTGCCACTGGAGAGAGAAGGAATTTTAAGAATCATGTAAATGTATGCGAATTGTGGGAAAATAAAAGTAGTTAAAGAATACGCATTTACCTCTGTTTAATTTTTTTTAATCCATCTTCAAACGTCACCCAATCTATTCGGTCTCCAAAACCTGTGTGACCCAAGGGAGACATTCAATCGCAAGTTTAGTATATACCGTCTTTATAATTCCTAATCATTAAATCAGGCCAAAGAAATCCCAAATTGCATTGAGCTCGCTCAATTACCCTGTGATTGGTTTAGAAAACTCGTGCCACACTTCCTCTAAACCAATCAGATCCAATAGCTTGTTCAAGTTGTCACTGAGTCACGTTTTTGCGCGCTTTCGGCAACTTGCTGGACTTAAGTTTGAGTTCTCTTAAGCTTTTTGCAATTTTGACCTTTGTTCTCATTGGTCTAAAGAAAATTAATAGAAGTAAAGGTATATCAGCAGCAACTGTCGACGGTCTCCTCACCCCTTGCGAGAGGATTGCTTTTCCTGGCTGGTTCTTCCATTTCCTTCAATACATCGCTTCCTTTGGTTTTCTTTAGGACTGACTTCATGCTGTCAATAACTATGAAAAAATAAACGGTCAAGATCCCATTTCTTAAAAGCAAATCGACAATTCAAATTAAGATTCCCGATTCTTTTCTGCACTTACTTTCAGAGGTTTTCCCATAATAATACTTGGTGTCTTTGTGTTTCCCGTTTTCATTGTAAAATTCTTTCATGACCTCCCCTTCTGCAGCTAAAAAACATAGACAGAATTTTGAATGATTGCACTCAGCTATACCAATTTTTGCCTGTAATTTCAAACAATACAATTAGAATAATAAACCAGACAAGCTTTAAATCGTAACCCAATCCAATTTCACTCCTACAAAGCAATTTTCCATTAGGTTTCGAAAATAAACTGAGATTGCTCATTTTTACCAAACTCTGCTCTGTAATTGGTCCAGAAAACTTGCTTGCGTAATCCTGTCAACCAATCAGCAGCAAAACCAAAAGCAATCGTGACTTTTGCGTTTTCCCGCGCTTCAAGTAGTTTCCTAGAAATCTGCTCTATGTTTACTAAAACTAATAGGAAGCTTACACAAAAACAAAATCCTAGGAATGTATCTTCCATCTGGGCGGTATTTTTCCTCCTTTGGTTCTTCTTCGTCCTACAACAAGAATCAGTTCTAAATTAATTAAAGGTTATGTGAATTATAGGCATAAAAAAATACTTTTGGCCCCTTAAGTGTTCGTCAATTGTTCCTCTTTAAAGATAGATTAACAATAACATTTAGAATCGTATGATGCACGA